ATTTGTAACTGTACTTTTCCCACAGATAATTTGTAGCCTTGGAAAACAAGACTGACAAGTGTGGAAGCCCTCACAGAGCCCACAGTGAAAGGAGTGATAGATTGCAGCTGAATGAATGGACGGTTACCCACAGGGAGACAGCACTGGCAAGAGGAAGTTTATCAGGCAGTGGGTGCCAATGCAAAGGGCAAAGAATAAAAACATCTGTGATTTGGTCTGCAAGCAAATGAAGAGGAAACTAATTCATGCTTATATTTTTCTCATGGTTCATATTTTTTGTGTTTTGCAACTTTTGTAAATGCTGACATTACTCCAAGGGCTGCACTGAACATTCATTCTCCTTGTTTCCTTGCTCTCTGTTAACCTATGTCCCAGATAAATGTTTGGGGTAAAGGCACATGTTCATCTTTTCTACCTGGTGTGGCAAAATTATTTGTATGAGTTGGAATTTGAGTGAGAACAAATACAGGAAAACAGGTCATGGTGATGGATGATGGGAATCATTCTTGGCCAGCTGCGGTGGGGAAGGAGATAAGGAGATGGGAATGGAAAGATTAAACAAACTACCAAAAGAAGATTTGTTTTATTGGAGTGCAGGAAAGTGAAAGATTGTAGGAGGTGAAGAAATAATTGGGAAACTGGCAGATGGCCTTGAAACCACCAGGAAGGAAGCTAAGACTACAGGGCCCAGAGGACCATCTTGACTCATAAGAATATCTAATTTGAAAAGCACTTTAGAGTGTGCAAAGCACTCAGTTCATAGCAACATGATATGATCAAAATATTAGGCAAGAAAAAAAGATCTCTTTGTGTTCCTGGAGAGGAAACTAGCTAGAAACAGGAAGGTAGCTGACGAGATACAGTAGCCAGAGGTTTGTCTTGAGGAATAAAAGATAAATGAAGGTAATGAAGATGTTGGAGAAAGTCTCATATAATTTCTTCTAAAATTTGGGTAAAGATGGTGAGGCATCTTTTTATATCCCGCTCTTCTGACCCTGGGTGACAGGAAGGAGTGGCTCTCAGAAGCTTTATAAAGAGGGGCAGAGTGATGGGTTTCAGGAGAAAGATAAAGACTATTTTCTTTAGTGTATGCTCAGGCAACAAAGGAGATCAAGAAAATATATTGCCAACTACTACAAAGGAGCATCTTGGGTCAGGCCAGAATGTGTGAGAATGGGGTGACTATCAAGACCATGATAGTTGAGAAAATTAAGGGAGCACATTGCTTATTAGGGAGGAATCAATAGAGACTAGATCTCAGAGGGAGATTTACATTTGGTGTAGGAAGTAACGAAGACAAGCATTCAAAGGAGATACAAAGATTAGAAAGATACAGAGGACCAAGGTCAGTGGATTCCTTCAGAAACACGATCTAGAACTGACTGGCCCCTTTGCAGAAGGTCCAGCTTCTTTCTGAGCACCAGGGGCTCTTTCTGTAACTGACATTGGGGAATATCTCATGCTTCCCACGGTCTTGCACTCACATTCTTTAGGTCTCCAATCTAACCAGGCCTAGGCTGGTTTTGTAAAATAGAACTAGGTCCCAGAAGCTAATGCTGTGCCTTACATTTGGATTTCCAGAAAAGCCCCATTAATCAGGACCTGCTCATCTGGGGCTAATTCCACTGGAAACCCCAAGGCCAGTTAACTAATTCCTGCAGGCTGCACACCCCTGACATTCTTAGTTCCTTCTCAAAATGAAAGTTCCCCCAAGGTAAGTTACTTCTGTATGGCCAGCCTGCTTTGTACTTTCTTCCCCTGGCCCAGGCTCTGCCATTTCCTTCCTCCAAAACCTGTGCACTGTGCCTTATGGAAAACCCATTCCTTAGTAAACAAAAATCCCTTCTTTCGCCCTCCTTTTCAGTGGAAGTTCTCTTTACCTCTAGGTATTGACTGGCACCTTCCTCCAACTCAAGGCTTCCACTTTTCCTGCAGCCTCCTCACTACAGGTTCTGTGAGAACAGAAACCAGATGTGATTGTTTCACTTAGAATCTTCCTAGGATCTAGCAGGACCCTAGACTAGCAGGTAATCAAGAAGTACTTCTTGAATGAATAACGTTCTCAGATTCTGGAGCCAGGGTTGAGACCCCTCTGTTTCCTGTGTGCATTTTAAGGATAATTATTTTTCTTCCACTTATCAGTGTCTCCCCTTTGAGGCTCATGCTGCCTGGTTATAAGACCCACTATCTCATTGCTGTCTGGAGCTGTCCTCACTTCTGCCTTTCGTGTCATCAAGGCTTTGCTTTCTGGCTCCTGCCTCTCTGCTACTCCAAGTCTGAAATAACTTCAGTGTCCACAAAGATGAACTGCCCAACATGCTAGCTTTTTGGTTCATTGACCTCATCAATAGCAGTGAACCTCGCCTTCACTTCCCTGCAGTCATCCATCCTCCTGGCTTTATTCTAGAGCTCATCACCACATGGTTATACCACAGCTGACATTTTTTGTTTTCATTGGTATACGTTTCCAGAAGTGGATGTTCAGAATTCATGAAAATGTTTTTTACACCCTTTACCTCCAATTCCTCCCCTCCTAGATGCATCCTAATTCAGTCCACTTGAGCCTTTGTACAACCAAGGTCTCCAACTCATCTATCATCCATCTCCTTTTTATTAAATCCACTGCACTTTTCTGTCTTTATCTTAATCAATGACTTGGCAGCATTTGCTGATTTGACCTTGACTGCCTTCTTGAAGTGCTCATCCTTGGCTTACTCTTTAAGTTTCTTCCTATCTCTTCTTCTTCAACTCTTTTTATGCTCAGCCATCTATGCCCATTTCCAAAATGTTGGTGTTCCTTATTGTTTCATCTTCTCTTTTCTCTCTTAATGCTACACTTTCTACCTGTGCTATTTCTACCACCCCTTGAATAGTCATTTGCATTAGAGATGCCTTCCAAATTTAGATCCACCTCAGACCAGCTTGTGAGATACAGATAGATATCTCACTGTTGTGCACTGACTAATTGCATTTAAGAGGCTAATATTGACCTCAAATTCAGCCTGTTATAAATTGGACATAGCATTTCCCAACCATCTCCCCAAATTTGCTTTGTTCTCTGCATTTGTGTGTGTGTGTGTGTGTGTGTGTGTGTGTGTGTGTGTGTAGTTACCTTTATATATCTTGATTCTGTTTCATTCTCTCCAACACTACTGCTTCAGCCTTCTTCTGGCCATCTTCATTTATTGGCTGGGTTACTGCAATCTTTCTTCAACTGCTTGCCAGTTATCTACTCCATCAATTCAAAATCCCAACTGTCATCATTCTAAAATGAAAATCTGATCATGTCATCCTCCTGCTTAAAGCCCTTGAATTTCTCTGCATCGCCCTTAATAAAAGCCTAGATTTTTGGCATGGCATACCCAACCCTTCAAAACCTAACCCAAGCTGACCTCTTCTGCCACTCCTTTGTCTACCCAACCCTAACTTACAGCCTTGTTGAACCTTTGGTGGCCCTGAGAATGCAAGAACAGGCCATTCTTTCTTTCATTTCTGTTTCAGTTGCTTAAAAGCAACCTTTTTCTCGCCACTCTTTCAACCACCTGTTCATGGTTTGGCTCACATGACCTCCTCCACGGTGACCTTGGTGCCTTTCCTGTGTGCACCACACTTACAATTTCTTGTTTCTCTGCATTGTCACTGCATGTCATATTTGCCTGTTTACTTCTTTTGTCTTTATCTCTAGACAGAATGCTCCAGACCACAGAATGCACCCTAACTGTGTTCACTCCCCACTGCCCAGGACAGTGGCTGGTTCACGGCATAGTTGTTGAGTTAATGAATGACTAACATAAGAGCTTGAATGAGAGGCTGTGACTGACTAATGGCATGAATGCAAGAAAGTTCCAGTAGCAGCATCTTGGCTGCATGAAGTTGTTGGTTCTGCTTTACATTGTCAGTAATGTGTTCCAATACTTTGTTAGCTTGGAAACATTTGAAGTCTAGTGGTTCATCAGTGAGCATGCACTCTGTCTTTCTTACTCATCACAGGCTGGCTGACCATTAGAACGCTCTTGACAATACTGAGTGAGGCATCCTGTGCACAAGGAAGGATGTAGATTTTAGTAATTTTAACTGATGAGAATTATAAGTGCTGAAGCACTTTGAAATGTGTGCTGGAAATGTGTCTTCAAGTTCTCATTTCCCCACATTATGAGTCATGAGGTCCTCTCAGGAGCTAAAATATCTTTTAGGTAATAGGATACCATTTCTCAACTTTTTCCTTAGTGCCCTCAGACTTACTTTCAGTATGAAAAAAATTCCATATCGTCCCATTTTACTGTGATTGATGAACTTAATTTGCTAGTGTGGCTAATGGTCTTGCAAATCAAAATCATTTCCTTGGTTTAGAAAATCTGACTTAAGAAAAATGTGAAGAGAAAGTGTTACTCTACTGGTCTCTTTTACTATATTGTGAGGCATCTCCAGAGGCTTCTTGTCAGATTATGTGTCTTGAAAATATTTGTGACTAACTATGGGCGATGGAACATGGAGGAGAGACTGTTGAGGTTCAGGTTTTGAAAAATGTTGAGATGAGGGCACATCAGCAGACATCTTTTATTATGTCTACTTTTTCACTAAATTCTCTGGAAAATTGGTTTTAGGCAAAAAGTGGGTCAGGTGTGTTATTATTTGTTTTGCTTTTGATGGCAGATTTCATATTTAACACCCCCTGAAAGTCACCCTTGGGTTAGAGGGAAGACAGAGACATTCTGTTTTGTGAGTGTTTGTGAGCTTTTGGTAGAGCCAGCTGGACACCCATTTCTATCGTTATCCAATTATCCTGTGGTGCATGTTAGGCCCAAAATAATTTTCATAAAGGAACAGATTGAACTTCACTGTGAACATTTTTATCAATTCCTGGTGTCTCAGAATGACATTAATTAGCAGTTGGAAGTGTTATGTTATCTGTCAGAAGCGATTTAATGAATTGAAATAGTATTAACTTTGTCTCTCTTTATTTTGGTTCCTAAGATGCTCACATTTTATTTACTCTTTAGCTGTGGGCTTAGCAAGCCTTTATAGAGGGTGGAAGTCATTGAACAAGATCGTTGTTTGCTCCAAAGGTAGGTTGATTTGATTTTTATATTTTGAATTGCATGGGGAAAAATTGCACTTTAACCCAAATGTTTATTGAATGCTGAATAATTATTTCTGAAAATTTGACTATTTTTATCCACCCTGATATAGACTCCAAGTAAAATAACCATGTATGACATTCCCTTTTACTTTCATTAACTTACAATTAAGATGCATGTTGTAAATATAATTTTCACTATTCATACAATATCATACTTTCTGATTTCTCTCAGTTATTTTATGTTTATTTTTGAATGATTTTTTTCTCTCGTATCTCAAGAATTATTTATGTTAGTAAAGAATGCAAGTATAAAGAAGAGCCATTTTTACTAAATCCTAGCATTAGATTTTATTCTGTGTCTTTAGACTTTTGGCTTTTTAAAAAATTCTATTATGAGCCAACGAAATAAATAGTCATTTATTGAGTGCCTTCTATGGATCAGTTCTTTGCTAAGCTATATATGTTACATGTGTTATCATGCTAAACTGTACAAGAATCCAAAAAGTATTATTATCCCCAGTTTACATATAAGGAAGCTGAGACACAAATAAGTACTTAAAACCCAGGTTCACATAAATAGCAATTGCTGGATTTGGGATTGTAGACCTTTGAGATTAGTGATTGATGCTCTGTACATCGATTCTCTAGTTTAAAGCCTCTTATTTTTTATGGGAGCTCCAATCTTTACATAGAAAGTACTTTGCGTGTAGTCGAAAAATATTCCAGATTTGATAAACAGTGGTGCCAATGAAATAGATGTCAACAATAATAGAGAAAAAACTGGCTAACATCAGTGGCATTGGTTATAACCAGAGACATTGGTTATAACCCCACTTAGAAGCCTTATGGAAAGAAAATATAACACCCTCAGTACAAGGGTTAGGAGACCGTTGAACCTCAAGAAGCGTGACCACTAGACTCGTAATTGTTAATAGAAATAATTTGAGAGCTCTGGACTATAAATTGCTTTATCTATTATGCCTGCTTTTTCTGTGCATCTTATTTGGGAATATAATCAAAAGTCAAATAGCCACATACCTGCTTCTTGGTTGAAGTAACAATAATAGAGAAACTTTAGCTAGGAACTAGCTTTGGAGCTTTGGAGCCTGATGTGGCTGAGTTGACTGAACTCTGTAATATACTCTCAAAACATTTGGGAAGTAAGAATCTCACTGACTGAAGCAAGAGTTCCCCAGACGTCCAGTTTCTAGAAGAATGCTGGAGGACAGAATGAGAGTCTACTTCATAATAAGCAAATTAATCTTTTTTAATGATTGAAAACACCATATGTCCAAACTCCAAACTAATCTCAACAGTAGATCAATAAAAAATAATTAAGAGCTTTTGATGTATCAACCCATCTAATGAGTTTTAAAATATCCATTTTTTTTGGAACATAAAGGAAATCATAGATCTTAAAATCTGCAGGCTCTCATTTTCACTCTGCCTTTGCAGTGTTTCCTACTTACCTGCCAGGCCCAGATCAAAAGTGCCCTCTCTGTGAATTCTCCCTTAACTACTTGCACACCATTCCCTCTCCTGCCCCGTGAGAGTTAACCCCTCCCCAAGGCCCCTGTTCACTGTTTAATAACCAGCATTCCTGCTGAGCTGTCAGCCTCTAGGGAGGGCTGGGTGGGTCCCTTGACTCAGAATCCTCAGGTTATAGCACAGAGCCTAAGCACATGGGCGGACTCGATGTTTGTTAAAAAAAATGAATGAATAACACAAGGTAGGCAAACTATGTGTGAACTGGAGGCAATCAAGCCAAAAAGGAGAGAAAAGGAGAAGGGGAAGTTGCGCAGAAGAATTTCAGAGAGAAGAATTCTGTCCTGTGTGACCGGGAGTCTCTTTAGGCTGAAACTTGCTTGGAATTCATAGTTTCACAAGTTCTGTCCAGGAGCCTCCCCAGATAGTCTAACGGACTCTTCCTCCTTTCCTGAAAGCATCTTTGACGAATTTTGTTGGATATTCTGATGCCGACAGCCTTTAATAGGACACAGTGGAGGCCCAGGGGGGGCAGAAGTCAAAGCTGCTGTCTTTTTATTGTCTCCCGCTCCTCTGTCTCTTTCATTCTTAAATGTCCCTGTTTCTCAAGGATAAAATGTCTCTTTCCTTCTGATTCTTTCCTCTGGCTTCTCTTTGGGGCCTTGAAACCTGACATTCTTGTTAATTTCTAAATACTCCTTTTTTTTTCTTCCCCATGCTTCCTTAATCTCAGTATCCTCTGAAGGAAGGAGCTGTTAGGTTCATTGTAACATTTCTTACAATATTTTTTAATGAGTATTGCTCATGTTTTCCATTTGTGAACCTTAATCAGTGGTATTTAATTGCTGCATTAAAGAGAGGGATAGAAATCAAAGGAAAAGGGTTTTTAAAATACCATTGGCAAATTATTTAAAGCCACCACATTTTCAAAACAATAATTAAATACAAACTGAATTTTATCTTCATTATACAAGTATGCAGGCTAATCACAGACTGTGCAGCCATCAGGGCCGAGGCTCATGACCCAGAGGTCCGCAGCTGTCCCACCCCCACGCAGAATCTCCTGGGCCCAGCTGCCTCTGCTGCAGCCCAGATTCTTTCCTGAGCTTCACAGCAAATGGGAGAAAAAAGTTTGGAAGAAAAAGATAGCTTAGCTTCTTGGAGCTTCCTAGGACAAATTAAAATTCTGAAGAAACCTAGGAACCCAAATCTATAAATAGAGGGGGGAAAAAGTATATATGGTAGTTACTAACCATAGCTTTTTGGCCATGATCTAAGGAATTAAAACTCCTGGTTCAGCAGCGAAAGACAAATATCACATGATCTCGCTTATAAGTGGAATCTAAAGAACTTAATAAACTGATGAACAGAATAGACTCAATGATATGGAAGCATAGATGAAAGTGATGAATGTCAGAGGGATGGAGGAGGGCGGGTGGGTGGAGGGGGAGAGAGTAACCAAAGCATTTATATGCATATATGCACAACCCAAGGACACGGACAATGGTGGGGAGAGGGCCTGGAGAGGGGGATGGGATGGGGTGGAACGGGTCATTGGGGAGAAAAAGGGACATCTGTAATATTTTAAACAATAATAAAATTTAAAATAAATAAATAAATAAATCCCAGTTCAGTCACCAACTGCCCATATAATCTTGTCCAAATCTCTTAATCTCTGTCACCTTCAGTGATCATAAAAGTCCCTAATCGTGCTAAAATTTAATATGTCCATGATCCTGTTAGGGCATACAGAACAAGCAATGTAGAGATGAATGTAGATTATCTTTTCTCCCCAGTGACCTCCAGTGCGTAGTGACATACTTATAACTACGTGAATGCAAAGCAAAAACAAATGAGGAATGAAAAGAGAGGAGAAACAGAAAATAACTAGCTTAGAGGGAGAAGTTATCGTGGGAGTAGAAATACCAGCAGGAAAAATAGAATAGTCAAAACCAGAAGATTGGCCATGCTGTAGATCACAGAGAGCCTAATGGACCGACTGTGAGCTAATGGTTACAAGAAAGATTCTAGCTTGCCTCAAGTCACAGCTATGCCTCATGTCATTCCCGATTATGAACCAGTACAATATTGCCCTGATATTTCACTTTACTTTCTAATTACTCACATATTTACGTTGCTTTTGGTTGTGATGTGATTCTGAGGCCTGCTTTCAAGAAGTATAAGGTTAAAAAATAGAAGTTTGTAGATAAATAAACAGGAATTGATGTGAGTTAATATTTTGAAAAATAATGTTGGGGATGCTAAAGGCGAGTTTGATGGTTGAATATGTGGTGCTTCTAGTACCTGTTTCTTAAAGGACTGTTTTTGTTTTTCAGATGATTAATGTTTAATTTGTTTAACTCCCCCCCCCCGTTTCTTTTATTGTGGTAAAATACACATAACACGAAATAAAAAAAATCTTACCCATTTTCATGTGTACAGTTAAGTGCCATTTATATTGCATAGTCATCACCACCATCCATCTCCAGAATGCTTTTCATCTTGAGCAACTGAAACTCTATACCTGTTAAACAATAGCTCCCCATTCCCTCCTCCCCCAGTGCCTGGCAACAACCATTCTACTTTCTGTGTCTGTGATTTGGCTAATTAAATGCCTCCTATAAGTAGAAGTATACAGTATTTGTCTCTTTTTTGCCTGGTGTGGTTTACTTAGTATAATGTCTTCAAACTTCATACATGTTGTAGTTTTTGACAGGATTTCCTTCTTTTTAAAGGCTGAATAGTATTATGTTATATGTATATACCACATTTTGTGGATAACATTTTGTTTATCCATTTATCCGTTGATGGACACATGGATTTTCTCCACATTCTAGCTATTGTGACTAATGCACCTATGAACATGGGTGTAGAAGTATCTCTTCAAGACCCTGATTTCACTTTTTTTGGTATATTTCCAGAAGTAGAATTGTTGGATCACATGGTAATTATTTTAAACTTTTTTAGGAGCCACCATACTGTTTTCTAAATGGCTTTACCATTTTACATTCCCATTAACACTGCACAAGCATTTCAGTTTCTCCACATCCTTGTCAAAACTTGTTTTCTGGTTCTTGTTTTTTTTCAATAATAGTCACCCCAATAGGTGTGACTATTAGGATTGTAGTAGTCATAGTTTTAATTTGCTTTTCCCTAATTATTAGTGTTATTGAGCATCTTTTCATGTGCTTGTTGGCCACTTGCTTGTGTTCTTTGGAGAATGGTCTATCAAATTCTTTAGCCATTTAGAATTGGGCTGTTTTTTGTTGTGTTTCAGAAAATTCTCTATATATTCCAGATAGTAATCTCGCTGTATCAGATAGATGATTTGCAAATATTTTATCCCATTTTGTGAGTTGTCTTTCTTTGTTTGTTTTTGTATTTTTTAGGCTTCAATGTATGTTTTATTTGTATTATGTTTTTAACTTTTCTTTAATGTTGACACTATTACAGATGTCCCTATTTCCCCACCCTTTGCCCACCTCCACCCTCCCTCCCTTC